AGACACGGGTGGTTTTGGTTTGCCAGGACTTGCATTCTGTTTCAGAAATTGAAGCAGAGACAGTGTATCCCTTTGGAAAAGCTTTCATCTGCAGAGTGATTTGCCTGCATCATCCTTTCCCACAGAATAATGCCTTTTTAGGATTATTTCAGTATTCATTTCCCAGCGACAGAACTGAAGATAGCAGACTAATTCCATTGATTGGCTTCTATCTGGAGTATCTGAAATGGGTATTTTAGACAGGAAAAAAAAACCCCTTTAGCATTTTCAGCCTATTTCTCATAGGAAGCGATTGCTTTACTGGTTCCAGTATGCTTGCTTATTGCTGGTCAGTCTATAACAAGCTTTTTTTTTTGGGAGGGGGGAGGGTAGATGTTAAAACAAAAATGGTTATTTGTGATAATGAAGCCAATAACTAGTGGTTATAGGAATGTTACTATGACAATTGGGACCATTGCTGCAGAATACTCTGTGGCACTTTTTGGAGGTTTAAATAAAGGGTCTACTTCCCTGTGTAAAGGATGACCTGACAGTTTATGAGGAGCAGTATAGGGAAAGCCCTGAAGCCTTGATGGAGCTCTTGAAAGGGTTTCTGGTTAACAGCATCCAAGATTTCCACAAGAAGCAAGTGTGTCACTATGTGGTCTATCATAAACTCTCAGACACTTTTTTAAGGTGTTTTACTGCTGTTGTCTTACTGGCTTTCCCTGAAAAAATACGGCTTTGATGTTTTATAGCTGCATGAAAACACCTTTTTTTTTTTTGATACTACATTTCATTTCTTCATTGCCTCTCCAAATCCCGGCTTGTCAGACTCTCTGAACAAAACTAACGTGTTTTCTGTAGCTACCTCATTGCCACTGATCTTGGTACTGCTGAGAGTCCCAGTGTCGTCTTATTTCTTTATGTTATCTCACTTGTTATTAGCACGAAATCTGGCAACTATCTCTCTTCAACTCTTGCTGGGATGTGCTATAGTCACATTGAGCTTCTTGACCTCCAGACTTTTTGTAACGTAGTGAAGTTCGTTGCTCAACAGATAACTCCTTCATAGTTTTTTCTCTTAATTTATAACTTCCTTTTTATTATCATAATCATTATTTTATCTTGGTTTCTAATTGTTATTTCAGTGACATCATCTTGAGCCATGTTGTTTTCAAATCCAGATTGATATTTCGTGTTGCTGGACTAATTTTCAAGAAGCCTCAGTGCAGTTTTTAGGCTTGAGACAAAGTGTTGATGATGAAGGGAACAGTAGGGACGATGGAATGAGATATAGTGAGAGACAGTGGACGTGAGAGTGAACTGAAAGGTGAGCATTGAATAAAGCAGAGTCTGTGAGTGAAGAAGTGAGATTAAAATAAAATGTCATGAAATGGAAAAAAGAGAAATAGGATGCATAAAAAAGCTGGAAAATTAATGTAAAAGAGAGAAATAATTATGCCAGCTATACAAGAAGGCTGTGAGATGAAAATACTGGAAATTTCAGGCTGAAAAAGGCAAAAATATTAATATAAAGATTTACTTGAGGACCTCATGAAAGGATTTTAATACATGCCTGGGTTCAAGCTCCCGCCTAGTCCGGTAATTCCTCAGGAGAGGTGTTGCAGTCTACACAGTGGATGGGCTGACGCAAAGCCTTCTGAAGACACCGGGGCAGTGTCCGTTGTAAGCAGGGGCTTTCAGTCAGGGCTCAACATTTGAACACATGCTGGAGAAAGCAGCAGAAATAATGTATGGAGAACATTCCTGCCATCAGTAAGAAGATGGCTTAGCTGATTTAATAGCTTTTTCTCAGTCTGTGATTCTAACAGCCAGGTTTGTGATATTTATTTTAGTATTCATGTTCTTGCAGTCCTTTTTACATTTCTCTGTTTTTCCCTGGCAGACATCCCGCAGCTCCATAAGTCTGGGGGAAGAGGATGGTTAGCATGTTGTTGCTGTGGGGATTTGAGTCTTAATGCTCGGTGCTGGTAATGCTGGGCATGTAATTTTAAAACTTGCATGCTACAGAAGCAGATAATTATTTCCCTGCTGCATTTTATACTCTGGTTTGGAAAGGAAGACATTTCAGAATATTAAAAGACAGAAAAAGTTACAATTTGGGGTAATATAGGAAATGGAAACAGAGAGAGGGGAGTAATGGGTGTCAGTCTGGTTATCAGTCAAGCTGGAAAGAGACAGCTTGTTCTGTCGAACACCAAGAATGTCAGTAGTGAGCCAGCCACTTATGCGGGAAGAAAACCCTAGACTGAAAGGTAAGGTTCAAAGACATCTGTGTATGTTTCTGAAATGAGCTTGAATTAAGCTTGCTATTGACTTACACTTACTGATTATGTGTGTTACATATCTGATTTTTCTTTAGCATTGGCTATTTGTATGATTGCTATTTTGCTTTTATTGCAGGATCTGGCTCTGTCTTTTGTTCTCCAATCTTGGATGCTTTTTATGTGTCCAGTGTCGATGTTGGGTAACTGTCATTGGCAGAAGTCTTAGCAGTGTTGTGTCATCTCTTTTTTTTTCTTAACCTCAAGTGAAATACGTTGTCTTCTCATTTTCTGCATGTTTATATGGTGAACTTGCTGAATATCTGTGGCTAGCATCCTCTCAAGCTGCCTAATGGTGTAATTCACACACTCCCATGTGCAAGGGTTGATTGCCTTCTTAAAAGAACTCTTGAGCACTGGAAGGTGTATCAGTGGTGTGCTGGCTGTTGTTTGTTTCCGTCTGCAAACAGATTTTGTTTTCTGAGTTAGTTTGTGTTGGTATGTGCTATTTTCCACTTACCCAGAAAGATGAAGCAGAGCTTAAGAGTAGATATCAGGGTACCTGCATATATCTGCTCTTTCTGCAGCAGATTTGATGCATAACTTGAGAGAAGTCCTGAAAGACAGGATGCAAAGAGGAGGCTGACAGAAAGCATTTTCTCAGCTGCTGTGAGCTCCTGAGAACTTACTAAGGCCAGAGGGAGAGTCTAAGTCCCTAAGGCAGTGCCTTATTTAACTCCTTTGTAACTGCAGTTCAGTTGTGGGTAAAATGGGCATAATCCCTGAATTATAAAACAAAGGATGTGTTTTTCAGGTAGTTTGAAATCCTCATGTAGAGCTGTGGAATCATAAATTATTAATCTTACTGGAGAGTATTTCTAGAGGTCACCGGATCTAATAGTTTCTTTCAAACAGAAGTAGGTTCACTTTAGAACAGTTTGCCCCCTATAAAATCTCTGACCTTGCCTATTCAGACTTCTTTATAAATGCATCATTTAATACAGGAAGCTCCTCAGGGAGGGTTCTTCACATCTGCCATCATAATTTCTTATTTCCTAAATGCAGCAATTTGTACTTGATTATTCTTACAAGGATCGTGCCTCCCTTCCCTCCCCTTGCTCTGGTGCATTCCTTTGTGTTGCTGCTTGTTCGTAGCCTGAACGCAGCATCTGAGAGTGTTTAAAATCCAAATTTTTCTTTGTTGTTATTCTACAACCTCTCAATTCTAGGGGACGGCATGAAGGAATCTGCTCTTTTATTCTCAGACTGTTTTCCTGCGGGTGGTTAGTGACAGCAAGTTGTCATCATTTTACTGCCATTCAGCAAGTAACAAAACTGAGCTGAATCTCTTTCAGTTTCCTGAGGACAAGATTTCCCAAAACAAAAATACACTGCCACTTCTTGGAGCACTTAACATCTGTAGTATTTAAGCGAAAGACCAGAGTTTTAACGATGCTTAGGTGCTTGGCTGCCACTAGAACTGAAGTGGACCTAAGTACCTGTAAATAGCGTTAAAAATTGGAGTGACTGAAGACCTCTCGCATCCATCACTCTTGGCAGTGGTCCCTTCAGAATGGAAGTAAGGCAGATCAGCAAGGTCACGTAAAATACTTGTAGTCCTGCTTTCTAGAAACTGCACATATTAAGTGAATTGCTGCATTCTAGTGTGGCTTTTCATTAAGTACATCTTCTGAAGCAGATTACTTACATTCACTAGAAGAAAAGAGCCCTTGCATGAAAGTAAATATCTAAGACAGACAACTTTTAAAAAGGATGCAGAACTATGCTGTAAAAATACCCACCTTTATAGCTTGTAATCCATTTTTTATTAAAACTGGGAAATAAAAATAAAATTCGCATTTAAATTACTTTCTGCCGTTTCTAGGGAATACTCTTTGCATTCCAGTTGGTTTCACTTTGCTGTTCCTCTGCCCATTTTCAGTGCTGCTGTTCTAGACTTGCGTAACCTTCAGGGAAAATTTATTCCCAAACATAAAACCTGTATGGATTTTACTTTTTAAATATTTAATAACATTTAACTGTGTGTTATCCTTGGAATCACTTTCTTTTCCACTGAATCCGGAAGGTTGGGCTGGTGCTGTATGAGAAGAGAATGTGTTTGAAGGGAGGAGCCCGCCATAGCTGTGTCAGGGGTTCCTTCAGTGATACTATGAAAGCAGGAGCACATGCACAGAAGGCTGTGTGCTCTGGTCCTTAGGTTGTGAAGAACAACCACTTGCAGTGCTTCCCCACAGTAAATGGTACAGACTTTCTGAAGAACTGGTCAAACTGCTTCTTGTTTAATTAACTCACACTTTAGTTGTACCGTGTATTCAATTTCAGGTTTGGTGGGGTTTTTTGAAGGAGGATGCATTCAGCAATGAAAGAAAAGAAAAGAAAGTCAATGATTGTGTTGAAGAATCATTGTTGGATGCACCATTCTGAAGAATGTCTGCCTTGTCTTTCAGTTTTGTATTAAATGTCTGAAATATTAGAGCAAGTTGCTTCTGTGTTCTTTAACAAGTTGACTTCCACTCCCTGCTCCCCACCCCCAATTAAAGCACGTTCATCAAATTGCTGACTTGGAAAGGTTTGTGCTGAGTTCTTTGAGCTGTGTGCTTTCGTTCCCCCATATCCCCCCTTCATCTTCATCTCATATTAAATAAAGCAAATTCCAAACAGATGAACTGTCAAACAGTTATGCTCCATCTCTTCAATCTGCTTTTTTTAGGTTTTTTGAAGGGGAGCATGCTGATTAGGTAAGGAGATGTCATGGTCTTCTTCCATCGATGTAGGAAGATAGCAGATATGATCGCCTGAAACAACCAAACTACACAGTGCAAGCATGGCTTTCGCCCAGTCGCACATTATGGCAGCTAGAAGACATCAGCACAGTAGACTCATAATTGAAGTGGATGAGTACAGCTCCAATCCCACACAGGCTTTCACGTTCTACAACATTAACCAGGGACGTTTTCAGCCCCCACATGTGCAAATGTAAGTATTATAGTTTTGTTATTGCTCTAGCACAGCCTTCTGAATTGTTATTGCCTTGTCGATGTGGTATTTGATGGATCAGTCAAAAATAATTCAAAGAACACTGTTTTGCTGCCTTTCTAATAATAATTACTATAATACTACAAAATGAGTCCATTTGGGAAGTGTAAGTACTTTGTTAAAGGATGGGAGAAAGATCACTTCACTAGTGTAACTTTAATACTTAATAGTTACGTATTAAAAAGAGAAATAGACAACAAGCAGTGGTAATAAAATAAGAGATGCTACAAGGATGATACTTTCTGCAATCTTAATAATGTTTGTTTGCGTTGTGCACTTGCTTATCGATGTAAATAGCTGTTGAAAATATGAAGCCTGTATCGGTACAATGCGAACTGTTTGGTTAGTTATATTACAGCTACATACAAGGGAAAAAAAATCACATTAATAAATAAAATAGTGTGGGCACCCATCCGACAACTTACTTTCATACCGATGTGCTGAAGATGCCAAGTGCTTAAAGAGTAATTAAAATAATGTGTTTGTTTCTGACTTCTTATATAATGACAACATCAGTAAAATTAACTGCTCTGAATGATTTACTTGTAAAGTGGAGAATTATAATTACAAAATGAAACCTGCCATAAAGTTTAAAGCCAGAAGGAAGAGCAAGACAGTAAAGCTATTACAAATAAATTAAGTATAAAATTATACTGTAAAATATTTTTATAGAGAATAAAAATGTCTGCACCATTTTACTGTGTTTAGTAAAGAGAAAAGCAGCCTTATCTTTAGATCAGAAAGCTGGTTTTCATTTTTTGAAGGAAACTTCTTTTGCTTTAGGAAGGCTGAATAAATAATTACCTTGTTCACATTTTTGGTATTTAATATGATTTGATAATTTCCAAACACAGACTATGTTTTATGCAGTTCAAAAACTCAGCAGTTATGACTGGTTGAATGCTATATGTTTATTTAGTGAATGCTTATGTACATTCTTTGGCATAAAGTGGACTTTATAGTAAAATATCAGAAGACTGACATACATCCTGGGGCGGTGTACAAACAGTTTTTGAGGGCAGTGTGTTAGTTTACGGTCTGTATTGGGGGTTTTTAGGTACTACTGAAATGCAAACAGTGAAATGATTTGAGTGTTAGCACTAGGAAACATCTTTTGTTTATAGAGCTGGCAAATGGTAGCAGAAGTACAAACAAACAAGCGTGGGTTCAGAAATACTTTTACAAATGAAAATGCCAAATGCAGGTTGCTTTATTTGTTAAGGCTTAGCTATTCTTTTTGAATATTCAGACAATTCCTGGGCTCTCCTGATTTTTTTCACTGGTCTTAAAAGCTGGATGTTTTTTACTGGACTGAAAATAAGTTAGTTATTAGTCTCCACTTGGTTCTCAACAATATGCTGTTTAAACTTCTAACCAGTAATAAATCATATTACCAAAAAGCTTAGACAGTCAACTGCATGATAGAAGATCAGCACCTAAGCAAGTAGTTGAGAATAAGTTAGCCTTAAAAAATGGTTCCTCAGAAGATTTCAGCAATCTCTCATGAATGATTAATACTATTGAAAAAGCTTCTGCAAAGAGAAAAATAGGCTAAATCAATCGAAACATTTACCATGATCTGACCTACTCTCTCTCTCGGTACAGAAATTGTAAATAATGTTTCTGAATACCAGCAGGATTGCGTTTGCCTCCAACCAATAAACACAATAATAACAAAGAAGGGAGAAGTAGACATAAAAAGTGTAACAAAAGCACCTTTTATTCACAGGAGTGTTACGGGTGGAATCTTAGCCCCGCTCTAGTCCATGCAAGTTTTGTCATTAACTTCAAGGAGGTGTGAAGGCTTTGCCGTGTCTATATGTATAGTTCCAGCCACCTAGATTAGGGATGTTGTAGGCAACCATAAGCAGATTTCATGTAGACTTGTTAACATCTGAACTCGTAGTAAACTACTTTAACCACAGGGGGTTTTTTGTGCACCTTTTCTTCTGAATTCAATCTTGCAGCTCTTCTTCCATCTTACATTTCTTGTTTCACTTTTTAGCAGCCATAACATGCTGGCAGCCCTTTCCTAGCCCCATCTTAGTCTGGCATCCCTGTGCTTCTGAGATGACTGAGTTGCTACTGACAAGAAGGGTGGATGGTAAATTCTGCCAGTATTTTCAAGTCCATCAGTCATTTCTGAAAAGTTCCTGTCTTGCTCCTTTGTGAAACCACTGAAATCTAGTGTATAAACGAACCTCTGCCAGTATTTTTGCTCAGAGATTTTTTTAACTTTGCTTTTCAATTTCTCGGCAAGTTTTTGTACTTGTTTAAAGAAAAACAAAAGCATTTGCACAGAAATAATCAGCAGATCTTTATTCCTCTCCTCATGCTGCAAACGGTGCACTGGGTGTTGGTGTGACAGCTGCTGTGGGAATGCATTACACAAAAATACGGGGATCGAGCCTTCAGAAATTATTTCCAGTAATACAACTTAGATGCCTTTGTGAAACCTGACATATGTTTTTACCTATATATGGCCTCAGTGTATGCATATCACTTCAACGTGAAAATGTGCATCTCATTCTTTTGTATTGATGCTTTTTCCCCATGAAAATTCTCTGTCCCATTGCACAGCATTTAAAAGTTATACATCAGCAGCCAGGAAAATGCTGTCCACATCTTCCCCATCCCCATCCAAACTATAAGAAAAAAAGCATGTGCTGCATGGGTTGCCATGGTAAGTCTGTTGTTTCTTCCATCTGGCTTCAGAGGAGCAACATGTGAAATGCATGCTACTCCCCAACACCCAACTTACTGCTGTGCTGAGCTTTAAAAGATTTCTGAAGGAGAAAAGGCACCTGCTTTAAAGGCTACTCTACCATGAGAAGTCAAAAAGTGGTGGTTTAGACCAGACCATATCCTTATGTTGTGCCAAGGTAGTATGCATAATTTAAACCTGGCTTACTAATATAACTTGTAACTAACTCTGGGAAATGTTGAGCAGGGAGAGCAATAATCAGAAATTTGTTTACTGAACTGATGTCTAATCCTTTGGCTTAAAGAGCTGCAACGATAGCTGGGGTCAGCTCCTCATCATTTTTATCCAGCCGTCCCAGTTCATTTTGAGGAGGAACGCCATGAACTGAATACATTACCCCTCATACTGCTCACGCTTTATGACAAGTCTCACTGACTGGTCTAAACCCCACCATTCACCATCCACCTTGCTTCCTCCACTCACCACCCATAGAGCTTGCTCTATAGCAGCTCTCTTCACTCTGAAACAGCAGCATTTTTAACACTAAGTGGCAGTCATGGAGCTGCACTGTTAGAGGTTGTGACCTCCTATGCCCAGCTTCCCCTGCACCTAACTGTTTTCTTCGTCTGCCCTTCTTCTATATGTGCCTGTGGTCCTCCCGCAACATAGACACTCCTTCAGCCCTACATGCAGTGTTTGCAGCTGCTCTCTCTGAGAGTCCAAACATTCCACTCTTTTCAGCCAAGTTTTACGATTTCCAGTATGTGCTTGCTTACATATCCCACTAGCATGTACATACTTCTGGGTATTCACTAGATATGATTTGATCACAGCTGGTTTTACTTCTTACCTCCTGTTTGGTTACTTTATGCTCGGAAAGTGGAACGTCACAAAGACAACTACAAGGTACTTGTACTAAAAAGCTGTTTCTCTAGTACTGCTGTAAAAAACCCAACATTTCCTCTTCCTAAAAAGATATAGGAAAGACAAGTACAAAATAATTTGTTCATACTTTAGTTTTGTAGCTATATTGTAGGAAATGCTAAGAACTTTTTCTATATTCAACAAGTTTTTAACGTTTTAGATTTATTCCTCAGTCTCACTAATCTTGTGAAGTTGTCAGAAACACCTCAGTTTACTCGCCTATAAATCTCCTAGAATTCTTTGACTTAGAGAAAAGATTGTGTGATTAAAGATTATTATCATATGCCTTGCAAGCAATAAAATGCCTTCTGAAAAAATACCCAGTAAACAGAGTTAGTATTATTAATATCAAAGATCTCGTAACTTTTTTCTGAGTTTATTTATATTAAAGTAAGCTCCTGAACTGAAGCACAACCAGCAAGGGATAGAAATTTGTATCACATACTGCAACAGTGAACAAAACTAATTTTGTTTGTCCTTTCAAAATAGATGTTGTGGAAGTAAAATAATTCATAACAATTCTGTATATCTCTCTGGTTTCTAGTGACATAAATATAAGTCTTGCATCTCTGGCTTTTTGATTTTATTCCACCAGAATTCCCTAACTGGAGTAGCGGAAGTGGTATAGCTGTATATGGATAAATTTGCTTCTATATATTCTAACAAAATATGGATTGAGGGTAAAAAAATTGAGTTGAAAATAAGTATTCTTCATATAGCACAGAGGTGTTCTCTGCTTTCCTCTTCTAAGTAATAAGTAAGTCTCATCAAACTGGGTCAGATCTTTTCGTTTCCTCAGTTTTGAATGTTTGAACAATGCAGCCTTACCCCTCACAGCATCTGATTCCATTTAGTATAATTAAGCCCAGAAAGTTGCCACGTTTGTCCTGACAATAGTCAGGCTTGAACGTACATTTACAGCTGTTGTCAGGAGAGTTCTTATCTTGCTTTGCATTAACACACTGAAACATATCTCCAAAATGTGTTAATTAAATTTGCTGGAATTATATAACTTGCAGAAAAAAGTTCTAATTAGAAAAAAATACATTTAAATGTATTTATGTATCTAAAATAAATCTTTTCCCTGTGTACCATGTAATCATATTTAAACAATGAAACAGGATAGTACTTTTCCTTTGAAACTGGCAATGCCTTTGATTTATTTGTAAGTATTTGTTTCAGAGTTACTGCCATAGTTCAGTCTCTCTTCCTTAATCTCTTTAAAATAATCCATCTACCCAGCAAATACTGAAACTGTTGTGATGTGAACATCAAGAATTTTTACACCTCCCATTAGTGTTAGGTTTGTTTTAATAAATCCCTTCCATCAGACAGGTCTAGAAGTCTGTGTAATCTTTTGTAAAGGTGAAAAATAGTATTAGAATTGCAAAGTAGACACTAAGAAGTACATAAGTACTTTATAACCTTGTTATGATGCATTTCCTACAGGGTTGATCCGGTGCCCCATGATGCTCCCAAACCTCCAGGATACACACGATTTGTCTGTATTTCTGATACTCACTCAAGAACTGATCCCATCCAAATGCCATATGGAGATGTGTTAATACATGCTGGTGATTTTACTGAGCTGGGACTTCCTAGTGAAGTAAAAAAATTCAACGAGTGGCTAGGTAGGTATCGAATTCTGTGTGGATTTGTTTACTGCTTGTATCATCTGCCCCTTTTGCCTCCCAGTAAAAACCATCATGCACTCAGAAATGATATTAATTTAACTTTTAGTTTCGATGGCAATGAGCAGGAATCAGATTTTTATTTCTTCTTTTTTTTTTTACAAATATTTTTGCATTTTCCAACTGAGCAAATAAGATTTGTGAGACTATTCATCTGTTCTGCCTTCACACTCTCAAGTGTACATTAAGCAACTTCTTGGTGTTAGCAACAATTTAAGTCAGTAGGTCTTTAATGATTTACATAAAACCTCTTACATACATTGTTATGGCTTTGCTTCCCTGCAAAAAAAAAGTTGTTGTGACTGAAAACATTTGTCTGTTTAACCCTGGAGGCTCGTAGTTTTTTTATCTGAGGCTCAGCTGCACCACAGTGATGAATTCCAAACAAAGCAAAACGTGTGCCTGTGGTTGCTGTCTTGGATGTAGCAGACCAGATGTAGATGCCTTCTGTAGGCAACTGTTGGCATTGGTAACTGAAATTCTGTTCCACTGGGCAAGAGAATGGTGATTTACATGTGCTTCTGCAATGTTTTGTATATGCTAAAAAAATGACAGTGAAAATTGGAAAGCATACCCTGTATCCAGACAAAAGCCCTGATCAGTATTGTTCCTGCAGCAGCATGGATACCTTATTTTAGAATAAAAATGGATTCTCCATTCTGATAATGCATTGTCAAAAAATGATGAGAGCAAATGAAGGTGTTGGAGAGAGAAAGGACACAGTTTAAAGGTAATGTTTTTAGGTTAATTTTCTTGGCCGTAGTTTGTATTTTTGCGTTTTTCCTGTCTTTTTTGCTACATACTACAGCATTCTACACTAGGGAGGCACAAAGCAGACAGATGCATGTAGGCTGAAATGGAATATTAAAAAAAAGTCAGGACTTCACAATTTAAACAAATATTTACTAGCAAATAATTATCAGAGAGGCTGGTAAAGATTTATTTGAGCTTGGGAACCCAATAACATGGCCCACATGGAACAGTTGCGTTTTTCTGTATTACGTTAGGAACAGCATGTGGGAGTAGCATACTCTGTTGTAGTGCCCTCACCTCTGTCTCTGTCTATGCACAGGTTGGTTGTAAAACAGAAAGCAAATTTTAAGCCTCTTTTGTAGATCTCTACCATGTATTATAAGAATGTACTGAAAATAGCATATAAAGATTATACAAACCATATGGTTATCCCTTCTAAATAATACTCATTTTATTTATCTGCTAGTGTGGGAAGAAAAGTGCTTTGGGATATTGCTAGCAAGCAAGGATGTGGGCTACACGCAGTACTTGCTGTACAGTTTTTGTCTCCCTAGTTCTCCATCTGCCTCCCTGCTGGCCACAGCTGTACAGTATTCTGAAGAAGTCCTTAAGCTGAAATCCGCTCAGTATGGTAGGGAGATTTCCCAAGGCATATCTGTGATGGTCTCTTCATCATTTTTATTCCAAAAGAAGGCTTAATTTTTCTGACTTTTCAGGCATGCTTCCAATTTCATGGTAATGTGCGGTTTGGGAAAAGGTGATCTTGGAGGTTTGAGTTATATTTTTGCAAGAACTTCTTTGAGATATGCAAATCTAGCGAGTTAAGTTTTTTGGTTTTTTTTAGTTTCTTGGCAATTTGAAAAAATGCAAAATTTAACTTAATTTTTTAATTCATTCTGGAAAAGCCAACAGAAAAAAATAATTTGAGGTCACTACATATATTTCATTCAGCTAGCTTTTAAAGTTTTGTTCCAGCTCAAAATTGTAAACTTTTAAAATTAATTATAGTCAATGAGATTTCAAAATTAAAACTAGCTTTTTTTGAAAGTTTTGTTTGTTTGTTTTAAATGAACCATTTATCAGCTCTCTAATACCTGGAGTGTTTGCAAAATCTACGGCAAATAGTAGAATGGTTAAAACTTATATATGAGAAGAAGAAATTTCAGAAGTTGTTGCTGGTTGTCCATTTTGTTGTGAAAGTCCCTAGTCTCCAACAGTTTTGATTTTTCTAGCTAGCTGCCTCCAGTATCTGCCATGATTTGGCAACTCCTATAGCCTACACAACTTTCTCCTTCCTTGTCTTAACCTTTTACTGGTTTCTTGAGAAAGTAATTGATGGACTCTGGCATGGACTTTTACCTCCACCATCATTCTTACCTGCTGCCACCAAATTTCCTTGGCTGTTCCTTCATCCCATACCACAGGGGCTCACCTTCCCACTTAGTTTTTTTTTTTCATGTCAAATCTATGTCTTCTGCCGTCATTAGACTATAGCTTTGTTTATGCCTTGGAATAGACACTAGAATATTTGTTTGTTACACCTTCCTTTGAGCTCAGCTTTCTCTTAGGCACTAGAGTACATACCCTACTCCTGCTTTTGCACCATATACTTATACCTAGCATTGGTTTCTAACTTGTAGCTTTCTGTTCCGTCATACCCTATTGGGTCTGTGCCACTCTGGTCTATCGGCCTATTTTGTCTTTTCAAGAGACCCTTCAGCAAGTTCAGATTTTGTCCTTCTGTTCTACATAAAATTTCTGTGCCTGTCTGCTGCAAAGTATATTTTGCATTAACATCATTAACTTCCATGGACCTTATGGTTATATCGAGCACATGCTGAAGTGTTGTGCTAATAGAGGCATGTTAGCTTTCTGAGTCATACCCTAAAATATGTTCTCACTTTTTTAGGCTAACTGTATGTGGGTACACAGGAAGGCCTGTACCAGCTCAGATGATATGTCTTTATCAAAGTATTGCTTTGACTGTGACTTCCAACCACGGTGCTCTGCTTTATCTGCCCCTAAGTCACCTAGTTTTATGCTTTTTATCTTCTGATCCCTAAAGCTCTCCACTTCATTTCATTTCACTTCGTTCTTTTTGGCAACTAACTGTTTTCTTTCACTATTCTTTTTCTCAAAGCTCCCTACCTGCTTCCCAGGGAGGGATTTGAGGTTTTAGTAGGGCTAGATTGATGCCTAACTCTGTGGAGGAGATGAAATGCTGGTGTTAACTGGATGTAGAGATTTCCTCAGTTTTCTCTAGTAGGCAGTCCAAGAAGTATCTGAGCCACAGCATTACTTTGTATTTAATATACAGATTGTTCTTCTCTAAGTTCTTTAACTCCCTTTTGGACCTCTGCAAATTTTGAGTGCCAACACAATCTTGTGTCTGAGTTGCCCAGTGTCATACGGATTTTGTGAAGAACTTTGCTTATTTTGAACCTGTCACCTACTAGCTTCATTCAGTGTTTCCTCATGCTGGAAGAGACGAGTGAACAATTTCATTCTTCATTCTGCTGAAGAATTTATAGGCTCTTTCTGTATCTACCCTTAAGTTATTTTTCAGACTGAAGACTGTTTAGAAGTCCTTAAATGCCTTTGATAATCTATGTCAGCCTTTGTATCTCTTTGTTTTATATCCTTTTAAAAATGGTGAGACCAGAACTGCACATGTTCTGAGAATGCCACAGATGTATCCCCTGGCATAATGAAGTTTCCTATTTTGTTCTCTTTTCCTTTCTAGTGTTGTAGATTATTCTGTTTTTATTTTTGATTGTGACTGAACAATGAGATGACATTTTCATGAAATTGCCTATTATAACTCTATGAACTCTTTCGTGAATGGTAATATCTAGTTCAGAACCCATCAGTGTGTATCTGTAGTTGGTATATTTTTTCCAGCACTCGAATTATTCTGCATAAATTTATATTCAGTTTCATCTGTCCGTTTATTGCCCAGTCATGCAGTATCATGATGTACTTTTGCAAGTCAGATTTCTATTTTGCTACCCTTGTTCTGGGTAGCTTAGAAAAATAAGGGTAAAAGGGATGAATTGTCAGTTTACAAAGCTTGCCAATGGTACCAACTTGGTCATTTCCCTCCCTTCTTTTCCTGATTTGACCTCTCTCCTGTTTTTATATTTCATCTTTTCCTTTTTTTAACCTAGGTATTTCTCTGACTGTTTTTTTCTTCAAAATTTGAAAATCCAATTTTGGAGAATCAGGCAAAATGAAGTACAAAATCTGTATTATGGTAGGGCCAAATGGAAAGCCGTGAGGCCAGTGAAACTTTCCAATGACATTGTAAGAATGCATGGTATGACAACTTTGAACATATGCTAATTTTCCAGTATGTCCAGGAGATTTTAATCACAGCACTTTAAACAGCCAAAAATAACTTGTGGGAATTGTTTCTAAATACATGGACCTGTTGGAGAAGGACCAGAGGAGGGCCACAAAAACTATCAGAGGGCTGGAACACCTCTCCTGTGAAGAAAGGAGAGTTGGGGTTGTTCAGCCTGCAGAAGAGGAGGCTCTGAGGAGACCTTATTGCAGCCTTTCAATAGTTAAAGGGTTCTTATAAGAAAGACGAAGAAAGACATCTTACCAGACCTGTAGCGACAGGACAAAGGGCAGCAGTTTTAAACTGAAAGAGGGTAGATTTGGACTGGATATATGGAAATAATTTTTTACAATGAGGGTGATGAGACACTGGAACAGCTTTCCCAGAGAGATAGTAATAGATGCCCTATCCCTGGAAACGTTCATGGTCAGGTTGGATGGGGCTCTGTGCAACCTGATCTTGTGAAAAATGTCCCTGCCCATGGCAGAGATGTTGGACTAGATGATCTTTAAAGGTCCCATTCCAACCCAAACTATTCTATAATTTTATATAATCCAGGCTAAATAAAATAGATTATATCATAAGATATATCAAGCTCACTATGCACTGAGGCTATCCTTGTCCTGAGCTTTTCCATTATTTTTGTTTTTGCTATTTATTCCCTACCTGCATGTAAATCAAGTGTGTTGTAGGACGAATACAAAGACATATGTCCTGCTTTAGTGCATTCATCAAATAATGACTCCAAAACCAACTCTATTTTTTATCTCCCATATTGTTGGCACTGGAAATTGCCTGCTTGGCTCAGTTGCTCTTGTAATTCCCTTTGCTCAAGTCTGTAATA